CAATTATACAAAAAATAATAATAATAACAATAATAGAAATTCTAACCTAGCTCCTTATTGACCAACCTAGCTGTAGACAAAAAACAAAGAAAAAATAAAACTAGGATTTATTATAAAATAAAATAAAATTTTCTCCTTCAAAAAAACATATAGATCGATAATTAAAAACAATACAAAGTAATTGTTTCAATGTACAGTTTGACTTTTAGTACAGCAGCAAAAAAAATAAAAATAAATAACTCTTTGTGATAAATACATCTGACTTGACTGAAAACATTATTGTAGGAAGAAAATTAAATACATGTCATGATGAGAGTTTATCCAAAATAAAAGAACTCAAAGATGAAACCAACTCCAGTGGAAAAGAAGACAAAAATGAAATGAAGATAAAGTTATGGCTGAGAGTGATATGTGTTCAGGGACCGTCATCTTAAGAATATATATGGGATCACAGGCTGTTTAACATATACAAAATGAATGACAGTACAGCACTTCACACTCCTCCTATGATGCATGAGAGATATCAAACATATTTGAGAGGTTGGTAACAAATAAACCTATCATTTTTATTTCGTTTTTCTATATATCTTCTGTACTCAGCATTCATAGCTTTGAGGTTCATACGAACCCCACTAAACTGCTTATGGAGAAGGGAAAAAACGGCTTACGGAGGAGCTATTAAGAATTAAGACACATGACATGAACCATCAATCAAGGGTGTCTGAAACCAATGTATGTTACCTATATGTTTGTATATATAACTATGACAACAAATGCTCAAGTAGCTGAGTTTTGAAATTATACACACAATTAAGACAAATATTTATTGATTCGAATAATCGGATAGATCAAATTACTATGATAATAGGATTTCAATAACAAAAAAGAGTTTATATGGCATAAAATGGAAGTATATAAATAGGATTTGTCCGGAGGAAATGAAATTCACATGTCTTGCACATAAAGCATGGAAATCGTCAAAGGGAATGGAAAAAAAATAAAAATTATATAGCACTGTAATAATATAGAATAGAGTCATAAACAAATCAAATGGTCAAATAAATACATTAACAATACAGCAAATGAGCAAAAACATACAATATATTCCATATCATGCAAAGATTACATTAAAAGAAGTGAAAGTACAACAAAATAAGCCACAAAGTAGGGAAATAAAGCAGAGATCCTTTGTATAAAGACCAGTAAAAGCCCTGGAAATGTGCAGCATATTAAGCTAATGTAATATGCATCCAAATTTAGAAGTAATACGATTTTCATTGGTGATTACATTAAAAGAAGTGAAAAGTAAAACAAAATAAGCCACACAGTAGGGAAATAAAGCACAGAGCCTTGGTATAAAGGCCAGCAAAAGCACTGAAAATGCGCAGCATGTTAAGCTAATGTAATATGCAGCCAGATTTAAAAGTAATGAAATTTTCATTCGTGATTTTATGAAGACATTTAGATAAACTAACTATATATATTCTGACTAGGTAAGAAGGCTACTTCATGGATACTTCAAAATTAGTTAATGAACCACAATTGACAAATAGGACATGAACCTCCATAGGTTGTGTTCAATTTATAGGAGTGCCAGAAATAGTTAAAGAGGGATTACAAGTATCGGAAGGGATTAGTCTTGTCTCAGAAGGGAGTTGGGACACCCTCAATTATATAAAAGAAAAAAACTAATTGCTTATAGACCGACTCAGTCTATATATATTTGTGTGCATAAATCATATTTATTATATATATGTATAGAGAGAGCAAACTGGTAAAAGACAGGAGAATGTATCTGGTTAAGCAGTTTTAGTTAGAGAATAATTCTTTTAAAAAATAAATAAATAAATAAGAGAGAGAGAGAGAGAGAGAGAGAGAGAGAGAGAGAGAAAATTCTGCAATGCAAAAGTGGGTACATGGTCATTGGTCATACAATGTCAAATAACTACTACCTCTTATTTTTGTTACTTCCTGTTAGAGATGATTACAAAATGAAGGACAGACCCCACATTCAAATAACACAAATGCTCAATAATTGAAGTTTCAGAGAGTCAATCTCAATTTATTTCATATCCAATATTGAACTTTTAAGCTCCTAATCAACCACAAGTTATATGGTAACCACGCACATATATATCCAACTAACAAATCCTAGATTTTATGGTAGTATTCAATTATGATATCATCCCAGCCTACATGCATGGACCCTCCCCTCCATACTTCACATGTAAAAGAAATGATTCCTTTTTCCCTCTGTTTCACACACCCACATGCATTAATTTTTTACTGGATTGCTGATAATACATATTGAAGAATAGCAATTTGTTGAGTAGAGAATTCTTAAATAGAGCTACATATCTATCAGATATTAACATTAGAATTATAATATAAATTTCTACTCCAGAAGCATGTTTACGTCCAAGGCATTGTGGCAAATGTTAGGTCATTGCCGTGTCTGCAGATGTGTTTTGACGATGGTAGGTGTTCTTTTTATTCTTTTTGCTAAAATAAATGGACACATGATTTCTTGCTGTCACCACGATTATAACTTTCAATTCGCAGTCTCACCTCACATGAGAAATTGCATGCAAAAACATCACTGTTTCTGGGTAAACAATTGTGTTGGTCATAGAAACTATAAGGCCTTTGTTGTCCTTGTCTTATACGCAATTATGGCTAATAAGTATAGATTTGAAGAATGAAAAACAACTTACAAAGACATTCCTTACCTGTTTTGCTTATTATTGGACTTCTGTTTTTAAGTTGCCTACTTCTGCCATCAAGGTTTTGGAGAAGAAGATGAGGGATTTCCTTCGGGGTTCTAGTGATTCTAATAAGAAAATGCCTGCCCTTAACTGGAAGACAGTTTGTGCACCTAAGGTTGAAGGTGGTATGGGGGTGAGAAAGTTATCTGATATCAATAATGCCTGTTTATGTAGATTGGTTTGGTACTTTCTGCAATCAAAAGACTGCCTCTGGATTGCATGGTTTAAAAGAAAGTCTGCAAAACATGCAAATTACTGGAACTGCTCTTATTGCTACTCTCAATCTACTGAATGGAAATATATGCTTGAATAGAGAGAATTCATGCAGCAGCAAGTTGGATTTAAAGTGGATGATGGTTCTGCTATTAGGCTGTTTACTGACCCTTGGTGCTTTGGAGACAACTTGCTGAATAAGTTTGGTCAAAGACATTATAGGGAGTTAAACCCAAAAAATGCAATGGTCGCTAACATTCTTCATAATGGTAGGCGGGCCGTTCCTCCTTCTACAGTGCAAATTCGACAATTGAGAAACTTTCTTCTGTCTGTTCGGTTGCAGCCTTCTATGGAGGCTGTGACGTGGAATTCTGGCTCTCTCTCTTTGAAAAGCGCATGGAATGCACTTAGGGTGCATCATAATAAAGTCTTTTGGCATGATCTTTGCTGGAATGGTAGCAGGCCAAGGGTTTCAACTACTTGATGCCTAATTCTTCATAGCAAAGTTTTATCTTTTTTCCAACTTGCAGAGGAGCGGTTGATGTGTGCTTCCATTCTTCCATAACTGCAGGGCTGGTGGTGATGATATAGATCACTTATTTGTATCTTGCTCTTATGTCAAGATTATTTGGAAGTTTTCTAGGGGTGGTGTTGAATTGGCCCTGAGATAACTAATATTAATGGTATTTTGGGTTGTTCTCTTGAGAACTCTCTCTCTCTGTCTCTCTAGGAATTTCTGTATTTTCATATTATGTGTCTAGGTGACATGTGGTATCCACACGTTACCTTTGTACTCTTAACATTTAGAAAAAAGTGATGCAATTAGTCCTAGAGAAAAGTGATGCAATTAATCCTCAGAAGTAGAGTGCATGAGTACTTTTAAGGGTGATTATCAACCGCTGTTGAAATATAATTATTAAAAAAAAAATGTAAGAATATTGCAGTTTTGTTATCATATCATTATTTAATGATGGATTAACTAAATTAGTTAACACAATCTTAGATGGACTATAAACTATGACAGTTATCAAAATCTTATTTGCTTCCTTAAACAAAATCGGTGGAGGTTATAATAATATCACTAAAAGATTAGTATATATATAATATTATTTTATTGCATCGATATACTTCATAAAATGATCTATCCAACACATGAGGATGCATACCCTAAGTAGATTAATTCAGCAACCAAGTCAATAAACCAAAACTTAAAGCACATCAGTTGAAACAATAACCATATATGTTCAATCCAACGCATGTTACAAGTAGATGTTGAGTTCTCATGTCTCCTGTATTTGCAGCTACCTAATTGTGTTTGCTTGGTGCAGTTATCTCAATGGCTTAGTACTACTTTTCACTCTAATGGTTTGAAAGATAGAGTTGCTAGAAGAATATTTTCTACAGCTCTATGTCATGTTTGGAATTTGGATTGAGAGAGATACTAGGATTTATGAAGGAGTTAAAAGGTCTTTTTCATCGATTGCTCGGGTTATTTGGAGGAAGGTGCTGGATTTGTCCGCTTTGAGAGTTCAAGATGCACTTGATCTGTTTGGTGCTTAAGTTGTTACTCTGTTTCTCTTTTCATTGGAGGTTTTGCTTATTTCTGGTCGGGTTTTGACCTTTATTTAGTTCTTTTGTTCTAAAGTAATAATCCAACGTATGCCTTTGATTATTATAGCCGTGTACATTATTGTTCATACCTATAATAATTTCTACTTTGCCCAGAAAAAAATAATAATAAAAATAAAAATTTGATAAGTAAATGTATATTAGATAAGTAAATGTATTTTTTTAAAAAAATAAATAAATAAAAAATTACAAATTACAAATTACAAATGACCCTTACAAAAGAAAAGGATTAAAGAATAATTTTGGTATAGCCCGATTAGATGCATGGTCAGCTACAATTAGGTGTTTAGGTAACAATTAGCAAATTTCTTTATGTGTGTATATATTAAGGCATAAAATGCATAGGTAGATTTTAAAGAAACAGTTTGAATCATCACCAAAACTGGAACTTACCTCCTCAAAACCCTTAACTGAGATTCGTTGCTTCTGAAAATCTCTGCAATACACTACAGAGTCTTCTCTCTCCACCCACTCCTCGAAAAAGACTCAGTTCGGAGCTGCGGTCACGATCCAACACAGCCAACCTAACCTCATCAACTATCGTCGCCGAAGAGGACAATGTGAACTGATAGAAGGACTGGGCCAAGGAGTTGAACAAAAAAGCAACGTTCTTGGCCATGTCGAGCCGACCCAGAAATCCGATCTCTGCAACAACAACAACAACTAGGGCTACCAATTGAGGCATCAAATTGGAGCATTGGTCCGGGTCCGAACAGTCTGTAATTAGGTCATTTTGAGAGACCAAGAGTCCGTTTTGTCAGCCATTAGGGCAATTTGACCAGGAAGGAAGCCTTCTTTTTTTTTTCTTTTTTTTTTTTTTTCTTCTTGAAAGGTAGCAGGAAGGAAGCTTCGGTGGAGGAGTAGAAACTATATAATGAGTAGAGCAACATAATGAGTAGAGCAACACGTTTCGTGGGAATGAAAGGGGGAGAGAGATTTTTATTTATTTATATTATTTTTTTAACTTATTCACGAAAATAATCCCCTGTAATTTTTGTTTTTTATTGACACAAAACTTTTATTCGGTTAAAGTTAGATAAATGAATGATAAATAATTACAAAACATTAAAGGGCTTTTAACACCCTTTGACAACATTAATTTTGGTGCAAAAAAAAAAAAAAAAAAAACATTAATTTACAAGAATTAGATTATAATCCTGTCAAATCGCGAATGTTTATGTAACAATTATAAGCAGTGTTTTATAAATATAGTAAAAATTAATTTTTATAAGGCAAAATCAATTAATCCCGTAAATACTATGTTGTAAAAATTCACTTATCAGTGAAATCACATAGCTTTGTGATTATGAAGTAGATATCTGCAACTGGGTGTTTTAATTCTCTCCGAAAGTGAGGTGTGGTGGTTTCAAACTCTGGGTGAAATGAACACTTGAGTTTGGGTTTGAGGTATGAGTTTGGAGTTCATGAGATATTTTGATTCTTAATATATATTTGGATGATTACTGGCACTTTGATATTTTAGCTTCTCTATTATTTAAGGAAATTATATATATTTGTAGGAACTAATCACAACTTACCTATGTAATCACTCTCCCACTAAATAAAATAAAAATAAAAATAAAAAAAGTTATCTTTAACTTCTTCAATAGAATAAGGGTTAATTACAATGACACCCCCTAAGCTTTATCTTATTGACAGTCATATACAAATTAGTCCATTTTTTAACAATAACACCCCCTAAGCTTTGCTACCTTTGACAAAGACACCCATTGAGGGGCTGATATGTGATAAAATAACCTAAGTGCCCTTTGACTTATGAAATGACACTTTTGAATAGCAAAATTACTAAATTACCCATACTAATAAATTTGAAATGTCAAAAATAACCTCTCACATCTCTCTATGTACAAATATAAGCAATATATACATAACCTAATATATATATATATATATATATATATATATATGTATGAGCAGTGGCCAGACTATTTTTTACCGACAACTACCGACTCATCTACGTGGACAACCACGTTACCATCTTCTCTCTCCAAAAGACGTACAAGACCCAATAACAACTGATCGGTAAAAATGCGTCGGAACGGCGACACAACCGCGGACTGATCGAAGACCCAATAGCAACCGCCGACACACCCAATTTCCGTTGGGTTCTTCAAACATTCGTGGCTATCCTTGGTGGACTCGTCCTTACTAGCGTTGGACTATATCGTGAGCAGCTTGAATAGGTGCAGAGTTTTTTTTTTTTTTTTTTTTTTTCACAAGAAATTTTTGTTTTCATTCCTCTATATCAAATCAAAATTACCCAATATCAGGGTTTACAAGGATCTAATACCATAAATGAATTGAAACCTTCACATTCCCCGCAAGTTCAAGAACCTCAGAAGGCTGGTCTTCAATTCCCCGTTGGCAGAATCGCCAGCTCCCTCAAAGCCGGCAAGTACGCAGAGTGAGTCGGTGCTGGTGCTCCGGTCTACCTCTTCGCCGTTCTTGAATACCTAGCCACCGTTCTTGGAAGACTTGGGCTTGCCTCTGCCTCCTTTGGTTGAACCTGCAGAACTCATCGTCTGTGTGTATTTCCGATCGCTGTGCATAGACAAGCTTAGCTCGCGGTTGAAATCTTGCTGTAGTATTTCAGATCGCTGATTTCATCGTTGAGTTATTCAACGACGACTATCTCTGGACTATCGGCGAGAGGTTTGAAGAAGTCGCAGTCGGGAATTGGATCTGGGTCTTGCCGTATTTCGTTGGTTTTTCAGTTGTAGTCGTTGAGCTCCGTCCGTTGACCCTCGCTGCCGCCGCTTTTGGTGAATCCAATGCTCTGAGCCTTTTGCTTCCCAGAGTATAAAAGATGTGATATTGTGCAATCACCGATGTGTGGAGAGAGACGGTGGCGGTGGCTGTGGTTAAAGAGAAGTGGCGGCGGGATGTGGTTAAGGAGATGGTGGTGGCGGGATGTGTTTCAGGGTAAGTGGTGGTGGCTGTGGTTAAGGGGTTGTGGTTGAGGAGATGATGGCGGTGGGTGAAGAGAGAAAGGACCGGATTGATGGGTTAGAAGAGATTGGTAGAAGGGCAAAAGTGTCATTTTAAAATTTTAATATTTTATAATTAAAATTAATTAAATATTGATGGGCAATTTTGTCTTTTCAAATCTTTTAAGGGTCTGTTTGGCTCCAAATTTTGTCAGGGGGTGTCATTGTTCAAAAAACGTCTAACTTGTATATGAGTGTCATTATAGCAAACCTCAGGGGGTGTCGTTGTAATTAACCCATAGAATAAGTAATGATATACATATCGTTATGTCATACGTTTTGATGATAAACTTATATTATATAATTTATTTTCATCCATTAAAACACATCGAGTTCAATGTCATAGTCTCATCACCCTCAAATAAAACGGGAAGGATTCATGCCATAATCGCACACATATTTTTGCCTACACATTTTAGTAAAAAAATTAAAATTACATTTCTTGTCAAAGAGAATGTAAAAATATGAGATGGGAAAGATGAAATTGTAGAGAAAACTTCTCTTTTTTTGTATATCTTTGTACAATGGTATCATGGCTTTTATACTAAATTCTAAAAGTTATACAAAGAAAATTAATTTACTTGATCCTAAAATTAAGCATTGACGCCTAAAGTTAAGGATTTATTGTTTAATACAATCCTGCAATCATGGCATTATATGGGCTGGAATATCCTATCATTTAACATTCTCATCTGGGCAAGTTGGGCATTATTGACATCCACGCTCCAACTTGAGGGGGAGTATTAAATGATAGGATATTCAAGCCCATATAATGCCATGATTGCAGGATTTTATTAAACAATAAATCCTTAACTTTACGGGTCAATGTATTAAATAATATACAAACCAACATAAACTCATAAATGACATAAAATTGTACTATTAAATGATAAGATATTCCAGCCCATATAATGCCATGATTGCAGGATTGTAGTAAACAATAAATCCTTAACTTTAGGCGTCAATGCTTAATTTTAGGATCAAGTAAATTAATTTTCTTTGTATGACTTTTAGAATTTAGTATAAAAGCCATGATACCATTGTACAAAGATATACAGAAAAAGATAAGTTTTCTCTACGGGTCTGTTTGGTTAGATGGAAATAGATGGTGGAAAGTGAAAGTGATAGAAAGTGAAGTGAAGGAAAATAAAATTAAGTTTTCATGGTGCATTTGGTTAGCATGAAAATTTTTCAAGAAAGTTGTGAGAAAATATTATGTTGTTAGTTTGGATAGAATGAAAGAGAAAAAAAAATAATTGTACTTGTCAAAATTGCCCTTATAATTTTAAATACTAAAAATAAAAATAAATTTGAGTAAAATTAATTCATGCATCAAATTCTGTTATTGATAATAATATTCTGAACTTGTACGAGAGACCTTGTCACCTGAATTTCTTTACTAAAATATATATATATATATATATATATATATATATATATATATATATATATATATATAAGATTTGGACATTACAATTTATATAGTAATTGTAAGGACTTTGATGAAATCGAATAAGATTAAGATTGTTTTATTAGATATTTGTTTATATTAGAATGACCAAAACCAATAAAATTTTACATATAACAACCAAGTTTATTAGAGTTTCCTTTTTGAATTCAACTAAAATTATGTAACTATAGAATATTTTGTATTATTCTTTTTAAGGAAAGTATATATTCTCTAAAACTTATAATAACTCTAGTATCCAAATTCTAAAACCTAGTAGATATTATACATATTGTAAATTAATATAATGCACTTGAAAAATACCCAGCATAATATCATAATATTTGGTATGTATATACGTATTTGGAAGGAAAATAAATAAATAAATAAATAAATAAAGTGATAAAAATAGATATAAAAAAATGTTAAAAATAAGATCTCCCCAATTTCATGAGTTCATTTACGTTTTTTTTTTTTTAAAATGTCCCTCAAAAAGGTAGAAAAAGATAAAGGAACCCAATTGATAATTATGGGTATAAAAGGAATTTAGAATATAACTAACAAGTTTCCCGAGAAACAAAAAATTTCGTGTGTTTTATACAGGAATTGTTTTGGAGAAAATTAGCTATTTGCGGGAATCCAGTTTCCTGAAAATTTTCCATTTCATCCTAAACAAACGCACAAAAAATTTTAAATATTTTCCGATTCTTTTCCTTTTTCTTGCTAGTTCTATCTAACCAAACGAACCCTACAATTTTATATTTCCCATCTCATATTTTTACGTGGTATCACCGTTCTTGGTGACTCTAGAATTTTTTCTTTTTCATCTTCATACCTTCCGCTGAAATATATCGGGGACGAACCCAAAACCTATGAAAAGATAACCTCAACCGAGGCATTTTTAGATGTTACGGATCCTCTCTCCTTACACCACTCGAATCATCCGGGCATCGTTCTAGTCTCCAAAGTTCTCGAAGGAGATAATTATGGGACTTGGAGTCGTGCTATGCGTATCAGCCTTAACGCAAAGAACAAAATCGATTTCGTCAATGGATCGATTAAGGCTCCGTCAACAACTGAAGCAAAGTTCCCTTTTTGGCAAAGATGCAACGATATGGTTCTGTCATGGATCCTTAGTTCAGTTCATCCAGAGATAGCCAATAACGTTTATATACGCTGAAACTGCAGCTGAAGTTTGGTCAGACCTGAAGGAATGTTTTTCACAAGGCAATGCTTCGTGCATTTATCAAATCCAAAGAAACATCGTGGAGCATAAACAAGGGCAACAACCGATTGCTCTTTACTACACCAAATTGAAGGCGTTTTAGAATGAATTGGCATCATACAATGACCCTCCAACCTACGCTTATGAAGGACTGAAAAAACTCAACGAGTGTGAAGAATAAGAAAAGGTAATACAATTTCTCATGGGATTAAATGATTCCTATTCCGTTATTCGTGGACAAATTTTGTTGATGCAGCCTTTACCTGATGTTGGGAAAGCCTACTCTCTTGTACTCCAACAAGAGAAACAAATGGAGGTCGCCCTGAATTGTGACACC